GCTGCTGGTATGCTACTGCCCTGGCTCCAGACAGCAACTTAAATCCACAGTGTCATAATCTTCAATAACTTTTCCAATGCGGTTGCATTATAAAATTCGTTCACCGCTCTGATTGTTTGTGTACACATTGAACGCGGCTGCCAACAGGCACCTTAATCTTCCCAGATCAATCACCACCTCTCTCACGTCTCTCGCTTCCTATGATCATCACCCCAGGCTGCGTCGCAGCCTAATGTCCTCGCATCTTCTGTCGTCTTCAGAACGGAATACCAGATCAGCGCGACGGAAATGGCATCAATCATTGCTCAAAGCATGCTCGCGAATTTCCCATCGCGGGTGCTCAATATCTTCTTGAGCCCAAACGGGGACGGCAGTCTTTTAAGCCAAACAGATGGCGCTTTGTCCTCGATACAGCCCAACGCAGAGTTCACCATATTTTCCCTCCTGGCCTTCTTTACTCATCTGGTACTTTGCACGATGGTATAGTTTTCGTCTTGTCTTCGCTTTTCTCATTTTTAGCCAAGCGAATAGGTAATGGCTGACTTCGGCTAGACACGTTATTATCTTGGCCACGTGGCAGGCAGATTGTTGATCCTCGAGATTGCCCATGCAGGTGCAGTTGAAAAGGAAGAGTGCGGAAAAGTCAAACAATCCCCAATATTCCGAAACATCACGAATTCGATTCCAGCCATCTATCGTGCGCAGACCTGGGAAAACACATTTTACTCGCTCACGCTCTCGCTGCTTTATTACATTGTTCACTATTTGATTACAACCTGCTTGGAGATGTCCATATTCAGACATGCGGCTCTGCAACCCTTGGCGTATGCCATTCCTTCTGTCCTTCTTTGCGATATCCATTTCCTCAAGACGGGCACCGCAATATCAACTCAACTTCCACTCTTACTTGATGACAACCGAAGATCCAAACAGATTTAGAAACCTTGCAGGTCCGGCTTTTGCTCTCGGCATGTCAAAAGCACTGATAAAGCGAGTGGAGAGTATGGTCAAATACATACTTATCTCCCTTCATGAACAGACTCCAACGAGCATAGGTATGCGAGCTGGAACCGATGTTTTGATAGTGATGATCATAATTGTATTCCACGTGGTAGGCATATTGCCAGGAACCATCATTCTGACATTGACCGAAGCAAGTCTCTTGCCTCCTACCTTGGAAACAGTTATTCCATCGACAACAAAGAAACGTGGATTGTTGATTGCGGAGTTGCTTGGTGGAAGAAGGGTAACTCCTGGTCTTGCCGGGTTTGCCACCATCATGGAGCCGTTTCGTGTGCCTCAGTTTTTGTGGCTTATTGGACTTCACCTCCAAAAATGTCATGTGCAGGTTGTAGTCGAGCTGATCGTATCTCCCCTTATTCTAGCCACGGTTCTGTGAACACAACAGGGAGCAGTCCATATGAATGAAACAACTTTTATTGTTTGAATGGTTGAATGTCAGAGTAGTCCGGTTCAGTCTCGGGCTCTGAGATGTATCGCTGTCCATGATGCCAAACTCGTGACAACATACACTTCGAATTACTCTCAATCAATACTCGGGGTAATTCAGGATCAGTACCGCAACAGCTCACCGGCTCACTTGTAGAGGTTTTTTGGGTTGGATATCTTTTCAGTGATATTATGTCTCATGTTTCAACATGCATGCACATGAGAAATTCGTCTGCGTTACCCCTTAACGTCAACGGCATTTTGTGATATTGAGGCCGCTGAATAATCGATTTAGGTTCGGCATGGCGTCGGAGCCCTGTATGATATGATCCCAGATTGGGTTATTGCTCTTGTCGATCATTTCAATTATGCTCCAGGCACTGTTGTCTTGGCCAGAGGGGGGTCTAGTGACTGATAGTGTGGCGGAGGAAGACGCGCAAGTCAAAACACTGCCCATTGTCTAGTCTGTCTCAGGAAGATGATGTGTCATGCGCCTTTTCCAGAATCTTCGCAGAAACACCCTCAGACCTTCCTCTCCTCCCGATACGAAGCAATGCCAAGACCCGGTGCTTATGTAATGCCTCGGTATAATTTTGTGCTGTTCAAGGCTTCAACTTATGGGGATTGCGCCCCTGTGCTCCGCCTTACAGGGTGTGGCACTGTGGCTCGAACCGGCTTCGTTTCGCAGTTGACCTAGTTTGAAACGTACAGATAACTTAGTCCTTTCTTTAGGGTCTGGTCGGGGTCTTCCCGCAGGGCCTACGGGGCCGCCAAGAAAGGGTACGTACGCTGACTACGTTAGAACCTTTAGCAAGATTTCCCCAACCAGCCTGGTGACCGTGTGGCTGAGATGCATTGAATATGGCAATGGACGAATACGCTTGCAATCTACCTGCCGTGTCTACCATCCGTGACTATACTGGAACGGACCCAACTTACACCACCACTTTATATCCCACTAATGCAGTGCAACGAGTTAGTAAGAAGGCGCAACATATGCAGCACTTGTGCCTGGTGAATCAGCCTCGGAATGGACGTCGCCTCGTCATCACTGCAGATCCCTCGGATCATCCTCCACCAGCCGAACTCATGCTAAAAGCCGAAGCCCTTAGCACGCTAGCCCCAGGCTCATGGAGAATCTGCAACAAACTACTTGCTTAGCCTAACTTGGCAACGTCCTAGTGCTTCTTTCACTTGCGGATCCGCCTGGATCAATACTGCCAAGATTCCTCTGGGACGGTAGCTCCTCTTCCGACCACTACTGACTTCCAATCAGAGGCTTTTCAATCAATGACCTTGTATCTAAGCCTATCTGGGCTATTCCTGGTAGGCTGAGAGGTCCGCAGCGGGTCCGGCAGGCTATTGCGTACCTTGTGTCGCTGAGAAACATTCTGTTTCTAATTCGTAGAGTTTTGATGAAGGAGCCCACGCCTTTCGTCAGCTGTCTCTTGGAAGGAGTATACGCATCACCTCCGGGAAATGGCCATGGCATAGATATAAAAGGTCAGGAATCAGCAGTGTAAGGTCCTCTCTTCTTCATCAGCACCAATTCACCTCAATACACCTTTCTCTTCTTCCAATACCTTGAAGGTATATCTATAAAATGGTTCAACTTGCTTCCGCCCTCGCCATCGGCCTTCTCGGTCTGGCTGGTGCTGTCTCTGCTCATCCCGGTCACGATGTTCGTGCTGAGGCTGCTGAGCGTGCTGCCTTCCTGAAGAACGCCCCCATTCACCAGCGCAGCCTCGCGCAGTGTGCCTCCAAGCTCAAGGCCCGTGGCCATGAGAACGCCAATGTTCTTCGCCGTGCCAACCGTGTGAAAGCCATCCGCCAGAAGCGTGGTCTGCAACACAGTGAGTTTCAATCCATTCACTTGCAAAAGAAGCACCAAGAGACTAACTGAATAACGCAGATGCCCACTTCCACAAGGCCCGCTCCCTCAACAGCGTCCTGAACACCGACCACAACTCCACCCTGGTTGGTGTCAGCGCTTCCACTGACCCCAGCGTCCTGTTCGGATCCGAGGCTACTTGCATCCTCGGCCCCGATGTCACCCAGGGCCCTTACTACGTCACCGGCGAGCTCATCCGTGAGAACATCGTCGAGGACCAGGAGGGTGTCCCTCTCTACATGGACATCCAATTGATCAACACCAACACCTGCGAGCCCATCCCCGATATCTACACCGACCTCTGGCACTGCAACGCCACCGGTGTCTACTCCGGTATCGTTGCCAGCGGCAACGGTGACTCCTCCGATGAGGCCAACCTCGACACGACCTGGCTCCGCGGTATCCAGCCCAGTGACAAGAACGGCGTTGTCTACATGGAGTCTATCTTCCCCGGCCACTACACCAGCCGTGCCACCCACATCCACGGTATGACAAATAACCACAAAATAACAAGCCCCAACTTAAGCCCTAAATAACTAATACACAATCAGTGCTCACCCACCCCGTCAACGAGACCACCGTTAATGCCAACGGTACCATCTCCGGCTTGTACACCTCGTCCTCCTCGCACGTCGGCCAGATCTTCTTCGACCAGGACCTGATTACCGAAGTCGAGAAGACCGCCCCTTACTCCACCAACACCCAGGACCTGACCACCAACGCCAACGACTCCATCCTCTCCGAGGAGGCTGACACTATCGACCCCTTCATGGAGTACGTTTACCTCGGTGACTCCGTGTCTGATGGTATCTTCGCCTGGATCTCTATGGGCATGGACCCCACCGAGGACACCACCGTTACCCCTGCTGCTTACTACACCGAGCAGGGTGGTGTTGAGAACGAGAGTTCCGGCTCCGGCATGGGTGGTGGCTCTCCCCCTGGCCAGTTTGGCTCTTCTACCGCTACCGCTGCTGGTGGCCGCCGCACCACTTTCTAATGGAACTATCCCGCCTTCATCTGATAGGGAGAATTTCTGAGTAAGACTGGTCTATACTATATGGCTCTCTTTTCTCTTTATGTCTCCTTTTTTGTGTATTTATCTTTGTCCTTGTCCGGTTTCAGTTCTGCGGCCGCTGAATGCTAGCCAGGAGGCTTGTCCGCTGTATTTTGTCACTGAAATATCCTTTTCTTTGGGCGCAGATACTCTGTTGTTTATCTAGCCTACTTAGAAATGGGTCATTTGGTGTATACATGTGATCTTTATCATTTCCTGTCTTTTCCGACTCGTTCAAGCGATGCTTCTTGGATAGTTATATATGCTAAGAAAAGTATTTTTCTATTGCAGTCATTTTTCTTGTAGCAGTGTAAATCTGACATATGAACCATCGATAAGCACAACTTGGCCGAAGTGCTCATTATTATTTAGTAAACTTCAATGATAATAGGCCTAATATAAACACGCGTGTATCTGCGGGGAATGAGAATGATAAGCATTTCGGCCGGAGCCGTGAACTTCAAGTAACACCCCGCGTGTCTGTCTTCACAAACAGCGACTTGTAGTTTTGAATCAGATAAAGCTGAAAAAGAAGTCCCAAAGATCACATACCTCTCAACTCGAAATAACTAATCTCGAACTTCGGGGACACGGAGAATACTAAATATGCCCATGGAAGAAGCTCCTCCGATCATCGATATTTCGGGTACGAAACGTTCCCATCTTGATACAGGCGTGTCTTTGCTGACCTGTCTCTCTCCAGCATTTTACGGAAAAGATGACACCGCGAAGCAGAACCTCGTGGAGCAAGTTCGCTCGGCCTGCACAGCCTTCGGCTTCCTTCAGATTGTCAATCATAACGTTCCGGACTCTCTGCAAGAAGATATATTGAGGCAATCTGAGGAATTTTTCGACCTGCCTCCGGAAACAAAGGAGAAATATAACAAAGGTGGAATGACTCCTCGAAGTTTGACGGTGCCTGGAGGCCTTTGAAGGATACAATGCTGATGCGGCAACTCAATAGACATTGGCGGCCGTCACCTCGGATATGAGCGTCTTCGCGCACAGAATTTCGAGAAAAAGACCGACGGTGACTTGAAGGAGGGCTATTACTTTGGCACCGATCTACCTCTCGACCACCCTTACGTTGTTGCAGGAAAGCTCAATTTTGGACCTAACAAGTATCCCGAAGAAGTGCCAAGCCCAGAAGAGTTCAAGATAACAGTGAAGGCCTATTTTGCAAGCATGGAACGTCTGGCCCATGATATCTTACGGATTCTCGCTGCCACGCTGTACTTGGATGAGAACTTTTTCAACGACTTTATTGATACCCCTATTGCTACATTACGTCTACTACATTATCCTCCCCAGCCACCTACTGCATCTCCTGATGAGCGAGGTAAGATAATGCCCCAGCTATACCCCTAAAACAAGAGTTGTATATGCTCTAACCGTTGACGAAATAGGGATTGGTGCGCACACTGACTTTGGTGGCATAACCATTCTCCTACAAGACATGATCGGTGGTCTCCAGGTCTGGAACAGAGACTACGACAAATGGGTTGACATGGAGCCTCGGAAGGGTGCCTTCGTCGTCAATCTGGGCAATTTGATGATGCGTTGGACTAATGACAATTACATGTCGAATTTGCACCGCGTCATCAATAAGACTGGGAAGGAGCGCTACTCTGTTCCTTTCTTCTTCTCTGGAAATCCGGATTATGTCGTTAAATGCCTGCCTAGCTGTGAGGGAACGAATGGCGCGAAGTATCCGCCTGTTTCGGTTGAAGTGTGGATTGCAGGACGGTATGCGGATACATATGGCTCGCAGGATAACAAGAATTAGCGAAGGAATTGGTTGTGATAGGAAATATCCTTGCAAGACGAAATATATATCGTCTAGCTTGGAACTTTTGTTCGCTTCGGTTGTAGGTAGCATACTTCCTAATTGCATTTATGCCATTTATTGCATTTCGTTATAAATTGAGCTCTCTGGCTGGCTAGGCAATAAATTATCATAATTTAAGAAGATTGTCCGTCGTCAATTTCCAAACATATCGGGGCGCCAAGTCCCCACCAGTGGGCCCGGGGATGCCCTTAGTCAGCGGACCCTGAAGCCCCGCCGACGCGTCCCCTGGGCGCAGGGCTCCAAGAAAGACGGGGCTTGGCCTACAACTACACGTCAACCACATGGTCAAAAATAACCACAATTATGAACGCATAAAAAAATAAGAAGGGATTTTATCATAGGTGTGTATTCCATATGTTCGTGTTGACTGATCGTTTGCCGTCTAGTTATATATACAAAACGAAAGCGAAAATGATATCGTGGAATATTCTTTCAGGTTAAGAACAGGTTAAGAAGAGGGCGCACCATCTCCAACTTGACTTCCGGTAGGATATTTACCGAAGCACGCTTTCTGATAGTTGGCAGTATGTTCCAGAGTGGGAATACCATGCAAGAACCGATCAACGGGGCAGAACCCATTCCTGGCCCCTTCGCAGCCAACAACACCTTCAAGAGGCAGAGGGGCACTGTTGAGGACGAAGCGAATGTAATCCGTGGTATCAGCAGTGGAATCCACAACAGGGTTCTCGTAGAGCACCGGGTCCAATTCCTTGAAAGAATGGTTGCGAGGGCAAGTCCAAATCTCGGACATGAAGCGAGCACCAAAGGGTGTCATCTCACTAAGAGAGAAGTTGCGCTTCGGGGCATGGTTCAGGTCGCCTGGCAGGCCGTGGGGACCATACTTGAAGTAGTTGACGCCGAGGGCGTTGATCACCGAGAGGATGATATCGTCATGAGACATATCCATGTAGAAGGGCTGGCCGAAGGGGAATTGGGCAGTGTTGTCATCATAGGTGTAGTTGATACTGGTGTCACTGGAGGTGATCAGCTTCTGCTGAAGCCTAGCCGCGAGTTCGAGAACGTAGCCGATGCCCTGGGCACGACCGGTCGGGGATCCCCAGGCATAATCTCCATAGTACTGCACATCAACATTGTACTCAAAGTCCTTCCACTCCTGCTCAGTGAATAAGGAGCAGAAGGATGAGCCGGCGAGACTGGTGTACTCGTATGCGCACAGATTCTGCATGGCGAGCACATCGGATGCGGTCAAGTTAAAGTCGCTAGGGAAAAAGGCCGAGAGACGAGAGCGAGCATCCTTGGTGTACCGAGAGATGAATGTTGTCGCAGAGTCATCACTGTAGGGTTCAATTAATACTGAATATCAATTGAAGGGAAAAATATCTACTCACCCCTCCGTCATATCACCTGTGCATGCTTCATATGATGCAAGAGTGTTGTTGAACCCAGACTCCTCCGGAATGATAACAAGGTCATATTCACTGTAGGAGCTGTTGGCGCCGCTGTTACCAAAGAATCCACCTATTGCACCAAGTCAGTATTTTGTCGGAGCGAAAGAATAGATGAACTTACTGAGCCACCACCGAGCACTCTCCAGAATGCGGCCCTGAGATGTAGTGCGGAAGACAGGCTTCGGGCGAGCGGTGCCGTTAGGATAGACATTGAGAGAAGAATTCCATGCCGCCATGGTGTCGCGGTCAGCGCGATACAGCAGTCTACCATATTTGGTCCAGAAGTTGGCTCCCGATGTCGCCTCAGTGGCTGCACCAGTCTCCATCAAAGCATCAGAGCCAAGGACATATTTCCAGTTGTTCAGGAACTTCAGAGGACCCGAGCCCACTTTCTTCCCGGGGTGGGTTTTTGTATAGTTGGCCAACTTGGTCGCAAAATCTTGCATACCCTCGCCGTCAAGAGGATAATCAGTCGGGTACCGTTCGGCATGACGGTGCAAGACATGAACCTGAGATAATTCACAGCTTTGTGGCACACCCTTGGGAACACCGAAGCTTTCGGCGTCCTTATAGGGGCTTAGGTTGGCCCAGCTCCTCTTCATGTCGAAGCCAGATGCATAGCTAGCACCAGTGGGCTCCGGAGCTGAACATGACGCCGTGACCGCAAGAGCGGCCAGTGTGATTGCAGTGATATTTTTCATGGCTGGCGTGGCGGGGGACTCCGAAATGATATTCACACTGGATCCTGAAGGGCTTCTCACAACCAATTGACTCGGTCTCCGCCAGATAAACCAATGCTTGACTAAAATTCAGCCAAAAGCGAGTAGAATGCTTCCTGTCAGTGAATCATCGCCCTGAGGGTAATATCGGAGAAGCCTATTGTCGGCTTATCATTTTTCCATCCCCGTTTCAGTATGTGATCGTCGTTCATCGATTCCTATCTCCCGAGGCTCTTCCCCAACCAATTAAAATATTCAGTTTCCGAGATAAGACACACACCAAAAAACAAACAAACAGGGGAAACAAGAGCTGGAACCTGCTGGCCTGAATGAAAAAGAGCTGTTTCATTCATTATTATGTCTCAGGAGTGCAGCACTAGCGTCAGGGGCAGCCTTGAGGCACGTGACCTATAAATATCCACGCCTACTCTGAGATTTCATGCCCGAGAATGTAACAGTGCTTCGCATGGTTCACAAAACGAGGGTGAATTTATCACGGATGGCATGCGGTGCTGTTTTGCCAATGCGTCTGCGTCCCCGACCAGGCCTCATTCTAGCCTACCAGCGATATAAAAGAAGCCTCATACCCTTTCTACTCCCCAATCTTTCTTCGTACAATTTTAGGTCAGAACATGGAATCCGCTTATTTCGTGATATGTCTGAGCGCAAGAAATATCAACATATTCGTATCACCAGAGAGCACGCATTTGGGTTTCTCATGAATATCTTAAAGGACCCCGTCTCGGGCAATTTGTTGAGAGGATTGAATTTATCAGGACACCCGACCATTCTTCTTACTACCCAGCAAAAGGCTATGAACGCGAGCTGAACCCGGAAGATAGGGGCCTTCTCAGAACTGCTGTCCGAGATGCTGGCTTCGTCGGTGTCAAAGAGGAGCGGGTCGTAAATGCCGATGAAAACCATTTATTGTGGTCGTTAGAGGAGATTGGTTATGAAGACGAGTAGCAGGGATATGGTTGGCGGACGTGAATGTATGCGAAGACGAAACCAAACTAAATAACAATAAAGAGGTACAAATCTCATAGAACCTTTGCATGGACCTGATTCACCAATTGCCCAACAGTGTCAACAACATCATCCAGCAATGCAATTGCAAAGTCAGACCAGGACTCCACAGTGACAATCTCAATGCAAAGAGTGTCCCCCTTGGGGAATGCCTGCACCTTGATCTCCCGCAAGGGCTCGAAATGCGGGTAGATAGTCTGCATGCGACTACTGGCCGCCATGAAAGACAGGTCCTCAACGTGCTCAACATCTTGGTGCACAACAGAATCAAACCAGTCAACTGTCTCCGGCCAATCAGTGCATTGCTGGACGATCTCTTTGAGACTCATGCCCTCGTACTGTGCACTTTCAAGATGTTGCCGCTGCACAAATTGCAGGAGATCAATTGCTGTCCATCCATCTGCGAACTTTACGCGCACAGGTACATATTGCCATGATGGCCCAACAACTGCGTCGGCATTGGGAAGGTCGATGTTCCGGCCACTCACTACTTCACCAAATGTAACGTCGTGGAGGGAAAGGCGGCGGGCGAGACACAGTGCCCAAGCCGCCGTAGGCAGAGTTGCAACTGTGATGTCCCTCGGTCGCGCGGCAATACTGACATCCTTGGAGATTGCGAAGTGGGCCCCTGACACAATTGGGATGTCTGGCTGGATGCGTGTCATGTATGATCCTTGCAGGAGGTTCTGCCAGTACGGAATGCTGATCGGCAGATTGGCGCGAAGAACGTGGTCGACGTATGAGGAGAACGGTAGGCTCTTGGGCACTGGTCTTCCCTCGTATAGGGCCGAGAGCTGCTGCAACAAGATTGGCAGACAGATCTCATCGTATTGGGCATGCGAAATGCGCATGAGCAAGCTGCTGGGTCCGTCGACGTGTTGCACGAAAATGAATTTCACGAAGAGGGATCCAAGGGGTATGCGCGATTGAACGTCCACTTCGCAGACCTTCTGGCTGAAGGCCTCGATGTCAGTATCAATCTCATATTCGACGATTGGGCATTTGATGTCATCCACAACTACGCCCAGGGACGCCCCATCATGCTCCACGAACATAGTGCGAAGGATTTCATTACGAGAAACAAGCTCCTGACAGCTTTTGAACAGCTGGTTGCGGTCCACCATAGTGTCCATGTAAAATAATTCATACCGCACAGAATAGCGAGGAAGTTGGACGGTGCCCTGGACGGCAATTTCCTGGAGTAGACGATTTGGATACGCATCGATGACCTGCCACTCGGGCTCCGCGAGCTTCGGACCAATGTTAGCGACAAATGAATCCACATCAGTCACGTCAAGTGTACTGAATGGTACGTATTCACGAGCCACTGTCTCCGCCGGCTGTGCTTCCACGGCATGTTCAGCCATGTCAGAGAGAGCTCGATTATCGAAGATGGCAGTCACGGTCAGTTGCAGACCTTCAGCCCGTGCCTCTGAGACCAGCTTCATGGCACGGATGGAGTCGCCTCCCAGGTCAAAGAAGTCATCATCCAAAAGAATGTCCTCGGATGGGACATCCAGAATTTGTCCCCAGAGACGCTGGAGCTTTTGCTGCGGGACAGTCATTACGGCTGTACCACTGTCATATCTCTTGATACGGGGTCTGACTTGCCCAACCTGCGCATCCTTTGCGCGAACGATAATGACCGAACCTTCAGTGGTGTACTTCGCCAGTTGGTTGGTGGAGTACACCTTCCGGGAATGGCCAAGCCAAGTCGGAGCGGTAATCAGATCACCGAAATCCAGCTCAACCTCTCGCTCAATGAGTAGCTCCCCAACGCCGC